ACACACACACACACACACACACACACACACACACACACACACACACACACACTTTACCAAGCATGTAAATACCGATCTTATTTGTGGGCCGTTAGAGACTCAGTTGCACACACCATGCCCCAGAGCCCCCGAGTGTGAAGCCAGAGCCCCTGTCGGGGTGGATTCCAGCTCTCGACAAAGCTGTGGGACCCCCCTCTCTTGTGCAGTTGTCGCAGCCCTGGTGGCACAGTGGTTACACATCCGGCTGCTGAGGTCAGCGGTTTGGAACCACCCGCCGCTCTGCGGGAGACAGACGAGGCTGTGTGCTCCCTTAAAGAGTGATGGCCTCGGAGACTCACGGGGGCAGTGCCAGGCTCCTGTCCTGCGGGGTCGCTGTGAGTGGTAGTGGCACGAGGGTGGGCTTGCTCGGCGCGGGGCAGGCCCTGTCTCCTAACTCTGTGTGTTCATCCCCCTGCCCTGCTCCCCCCCCACCCTCGGGCTGCAGGTCCGAGACAAGAAGCTTCTCAATGACCTGAACGGGGCCGTGGAGGACGCCAAGACGGCCCGGCTGTTCAACATCACCAGCTCCGCACTGGCCGCCTCCTGCATCGTGCTCATCTTCATCTTCCTGCGCTACCCGCTCACGGACTACTGAGGGCCAGGGTGGGGCCGCGGGACGCCTGAGACAGCCCTGCGTGATGGCTCTCAGGGTCCAGGGGGTTCCCGATGCCGTGATGATGGGCTGACCATGGTGTGGGCTCTAGGGCCGATGACCTAAGGCTGTGACCCGGGCAGACAGGCCATTGGGAGCTAAACCAGTGAGGGGCAGTGAGTACCACCCCTACCCCCGGCCTGCCTTCTCTGCTCCCGCCCTTTCCTAGGGCCCAGTTCTCCCTTCTCCTGGCTGCCCGCTGGCTTTCTCTGGCTGCCCCCTCCCCGGTCCCCCAGGGCCCGTTAGACCCCTCACCCCCCAGCAAGAAGGGCTTATATGGAGCTGCCTGTATGGGGAGCTGCCAGCATTGGGGGATTCCCACCCGTTCCCCATCCTGCCTCCTCCAAACTGTGACCCCCGCTCAGAGCTCTTGTATCTGTGGACTTCCAATAAAACGCTGTCCAGCTCCAGCCCTGGCCTGTGTCCCTGCCCGCAGGGTGGGGCAGTGGGGCAGTGAGATCGGTGTCCTGGGTTGGGTGTGCCCCACTGGAGCTCAGGGACTGGGGGCTGCACCCTTCGGCTCCTTCTACCTCTGGACCCAGAGGGGGATGGGCAGCGGCACCCCAGGTTTCTACTGCTGCTATGGCGTTGAGGGTGGGGGCAGGGGTGCTCTGTGTCTGCCCTCAGCCTGTGTGGGCACTTGGTGGCAGTGCCAGCTCTGGGAGCAAGGACAAGCTCATCTTGGGGAGCTCATGGTGTGTGGGCATCACCAGGGACAGGTCAGCAGCCTGGACCCTCCTGGGGACAGGGAGGTCAGGCAAAGAGAAGGCCCAGGAAGGGTGGCGGCCAGGGCACAGTGGGGACAGGTGAACCTTCCAGACCTTTCTGGGGACAGGGAAGTCAGCCAAAATGTGTATGTGGGCAGAGAGGGCCTGGGAGGGACCCAGGAGTGTGTGTGTGGGGGGCCGGGAGGTGCTTGGAGTGGGTGTGGTCAGAGTGTCCACTGGAAGTCCTGGGTGATCCCCAGAAGCCACCTTGGGGCGGAGTGTGCCTGGGAAGACTGAGGGGAGCGAGTGGGATGGGAGAAGCAGGGTGTGCACAGCAGCTGTGAAAGGCAGAGAGACAGCGGGGTCGGAGGGTGGGGAGCCGGGGTCTGGCTCCCAGGGGTGGCGGGGTGGAGCCAGGACTGGTTGAGTCCCCAGAGGACTACAGAAGGAAGGCCCACTGACCAACTCTTAAAGCTCCACCACCAGCAGCCCACGTGGCCAAGTCTGCTGTGACCCCGTGGCTCACGGGAGTCGGAAGTCTGTCCGAGGCACAAACCAGAGCAGAGGTGCCCGCAGGGGCCAGAGAAGCAGGGGTGTCAGAGTGAGGCTCAGGGTAAGGTAGACAGCCTGGGGCAGGAGGAGACAGCCCTTCATTGCAGGGGAGGAACCAGCTGCAGGGTGTGGGAATCCCCTCCTCTCCCCGTTTCCTCTCCTTCCTGGAGACAGGCCAAGCTGGCCATCCATGGGGGATCTGGTACCTGCAAGGCAGAGGGGGTATGGGAAGGCTGCCTTCTCACCACCTCAGGAAGGGATACAACAAACTTCTGTGACCACAGGTGACCTGGAGCTGGGAGGGAGTGGGTGATGGGGAGACG